AGTTACTTGATTTATATATAATTATTTTTTGTTATCGATGAGGTTTGGGAAATGGGCTCTCTTATGTACCTTCTAGAGCTGGCGGTGTGAGTTGTCTGGGACTGCAGTCTGGCTGTTTACTCACTAAAACCCTTCCGATTGTGGCCCTTATGTTATTATTATCATTATTATTTATACCTTACAAGTTGGTATAGTGCTGTTTGAGTCGTATGTCCTTTCTTGTTTCATCAAAGTCCTATTTTTGTTCAGTACGATCCTCATTAGGTACGCTTCAAATTCAGGGGTTTTGGAAAAACCGAATTTTCTCACGTCTTCTATTACAGATTGATAAAGAGTGCTCTTATTTCACAATAAAGAACGAATTCTTTATCAAAAGGTAATCAAGAGCTATCACCTAGAGGGTATCGGTATCCTACGACACACTTAGGCTCAAGCTGTAACAGAAAATCCTATGCTATTCTATGACGAAGGTGTCTAAAAACATTATATTAGTAAATTATGCAATAAATTTCAAATATAAATTATATAAAATTATAGTATCGGTAACTCTTACCATTGTCATAACATACATTACCATTTTCCTGTTTTATTTTCTACTAACATACCAGAGCTTTTCCCTCGACGTTTTACCACGTTTAACTTCTCTAGTAAATTTGTTTGTCCCTACGTTTAAAAAGTGTAATGCAAGGGGTTATTGGAAAAAAGCGACAAGCCACAGATCATTATATTTAGAAAACGAGCTTTAAAGATTCAAAAAACTATGTCAAATGAATATTTTACATAGTTGAACGATGAACTAGATCATGTTTTAACGTCTTTGCTTGTGTGGCTTGTCACGGTTTCCCAAATAGGCCCTTCAGATCTAGTGTTAATTTATAATTGCTACTCACGTTTTCATAATTTTAACATTAAAATGATTGGTTGGTTAACATTAAAATTATTTCCTTTTTCAGCGCAATTCGCCATTGGACTCTCGCATTCTTACCAAAAGACAAAAAGGTTGATTAGCTGCCATTTTTTAAGATTAGTCAATTTAATATCTACCTGTTTTACCGGCTGTAACGTAACACGTCCCACTCCTACAGCTTTTTTGATGTCCAACTGGGAATATCCGTTCTGAAGAAAAGCTTTTTCCAAGTGCTGTAGTTCCGTTGTTAGATGT